AAAAAAAAAAAATGGTAAAATTTCCCCAAAAGGAATAGAAATAACACATCTTAAGACCAAGTACAATAGATTTATTCTTAATTCAAAACAGAGAATCAAGCTAAGAATTCCTATATATTACCGAAAGTTCGTCTTCCAAAGATATTCCTGCTCTCCAAGAGAGCAACTTGCCTGCAAATATAAATATTCTCTTATATAGAGAAAGCTCTTTCACCAATAAAAAGTTATCAACATTACATTAGAATTTATAGTAATAAAACCAAGATGTAAAGAGTGAACTCCTATATATTACCGAAAGGTCGTACAAGTTGCTCGGGTATTGTGGTCACAGGCATCTTCCAGAACCAAAAGATAAGCATAACATACGTAACAACCTGTACAAATACAGCAATATTAGTTTAACTGAATTTTTAATAGTTGAAACAAGAAAAATACGTAATTTTCTCAAATACGCAAAGTGTAAAAATGAATGTAACCTTAGATATCAGTAAGAGCTTTTCGTATGTACCAAACGACATCTTCATATCCTTTTCGTGCATTTCTTGACCTGAAAAATAAACAAAACATGAAGAATTACTGAAAATATGGTTATAATAAGGCCATTAAACTATCAAGTAAACTAAAATTAACAAACTGAAACGAATGGTAAAGATTGGAGATTGCAACCACAAGGTCACATACAAAAATCCATTGCCATGAGAATTATATTTAGACACTAAGGTTAAAAAAAAAGGAGAAGGGAAAAAAATGATTGCCTGCGAAAAAATTTAAAGAAAAATACCCTACGTTTTGTAAGTTCTTTCTCCTTTGAAGCTGCCATTCTTCTAAGTTTTGCAGCTTGTGCAAATGTTGAAGGCCTGAAATAAACGACATAAGCAAAGACACATAATGACACGCCCCAGATTCTCATCTCCGAACACGAAAATCTATGACAAAAAAAAAAACAGATACGAAACCAAGAAATTACAAAAAACATAATAAATCATCCAGCCAGACATGAGATTTCCTCCAAAAATTCACTTTTTTGTAAAGCAACGCTATGAAATTCAAACTGTTCAGAAAGCAGAAAGTTTATCAAGCTGACGGCTACATGTTGCTTGCTTTTATGGTTCGAAAATCAAAACAAATGTTTCAAAATCATGATCGACTAAGATGCTTCGAAGGGGGGAAAAAGGGCGATTTGCTACATTACCAAAACAGTTTATAGACACCGAAAATACACATTGCAAGCATCAATTAATCTTCTTATTATAATATTACATAAAATCAACAATCAAGATCTTGCCAAGACATTATTTGCTAAGCCAGTTAGCATATAAATTCAACCTGGCAAAGTAGATTAACTCGAATTCACCCGAATAGAGTTCTTTACACAAAATTTGTAAATATGTACAGTTTAAACTCATGAGAGCCAACAAATAACACAATTGAATACTCTAAAAACCCAAATTGTGCCTGTAGAATCTAAAATCCATGGCTACAAATTAACCCAAATGTAGTGAACATTAAGAATGATAAATAAACATTTGTAATGTATATAAAATCGGACTCACTGAGTCAAAGAGCTAGCCTCCTTCAAAAGCTTCTTAATTTCTGCTCGCAATTCAATCCCCACATCACTCATCGCTCCTTTCTATATAAAATAACCAAATAAAAGGAGAACAAATAAATAAAAAAAAAAAAACAGAGGAAAATTGTCTGAATTATCAATCGCAACAACTCTAAACATCTGAAAATGCACTATTTGGAGCAATTCGATTAATCAATCAATAATAATAAGAAAAAATTGAAAAAAAAAAGAAAAACATGAACCTTTTTTTTGTGGGAGCCGATGAATTTTGAGAGAAAGTGGAAAGCGAATACGAGGACGAAAATCGCAGGAGCTGCCATGGATTTCGTGCGCGCCACTGGAATTTCTTCCATTCTTTATGAATGTATGAATGTGTTTGTACGAGATTGTTTGAAAGCGGGGATACAGTGTGTGTCTTCTTCCTTCGTTGTTAGGAAGAAATCGCTATCAACAAAGAATGAAGTCGTGTTGCTAACTATTTCCGAGTTTAGGTGCTTGCATATTAATATTAGGCAAAACTGTAATTTTAGTCGTGTTGGTTTAGTCCATTAACGTTTTTAGTCTTAAGAATAGAACATTTTTGTTATTTGGTCTTATGATTTTAAAATTCAGTGCAATTTCATTCTTTTGGGACTTAAATTGCAAAAAAATTAAAATTACAGGACTTAAATTGCTAATAAAAAATCATTTGGAAAGAATTTGTATTAGAAATTTAAGTCTTGTAATTTTAAATTTTTGTAGCAATTTCAGATCGAAATGCCTGAAATTGCAGCAAAATGTTAAATTACATGATCAAAAAATAAAGAGTTAAAATTTTGGGACTAAAAATGATACAACGTTAAATAAACATGACTAAAAATGCATTTTACCATATTATTATTATTATTATTATTATTATTATTATTATTATTATTATTATTATTATTATTATTATTATTATTATTATTATTCTAATTGGGTTGTTCGCAAAGGCAATTTAACTCAAAACTTGTAAACGTTCAAGATAAATTCATTATATGAGTTGCGCCCAAACAATTAACCGAGTTTGTTTATCAATCGAACCGAGCCAATCTCGTTGGCGATTTTTTTTTCTTTATTTTTTGCAAGCAGTCGAGTCAACTTGCTAGCTAACTAATAATTTGTGTTTGCAAACATTTCGTTTAAGTATTTATATTTATCAAACGAGTCGAGTCAAACTTTCACGAATTTAAATGAGTTGTGCTCGAGCAAAGCCTTTTTTGTTTATTAAGACAAATTTGGACTTTTGTCAACAGTTGGCTCCTTAACATTATTGCTGATTAGATATTGACTTACTCGAAAAAGTAGACCGATCGAGGAAGACACTCGGGCAAATTTGCTTCCCCCCTCCCGTAAGCATACACGCACATTTTGATCAATGTTACCGTACTCAGGCTTATGCCTTTGATTGGTTCAATTTTTGTCTCTTCATTGTTGGCAAAACAAACACCACAAAAGAACTCATGCTAGACTCCAAATGAACAAAATTTGCACAAACCCAAGCCCAAAAATTTTCTTATAAAGGCAGCAAAACAGCAAAATTGTTATACTGAATTGAATTGAATTGAATTATGTGCCTCATGTGTATGCATATCAAGTTGGACTCAGAATAAATATTTGTGAGGGAAATACCACGATCATAACAAAAAACCAGGAACCAACGCTTAGTTTGTACGTGTTGAAACTCAAAACAAAGAGATGAGCTACAAGACAAACTAATCGAACTTTCAAGGCCATTACAAGGAAACGTCTAGACTAACGCAGCTGACTTCATTGAGTTTGTAGAACACGGGAACGGTATTCACCAAGAGCCCAAATAGGGAATATATTCCTATATGCAGCATATGTGATCATGCAATTCTTGTTGAAGACCCCCATTATTTCCTAACAAAGCACAAGACGTTAGTTGTTAGTGACGATAACAGTTACCTCTTTTTAAGGATAACCTTAACACGGATTGCAGTTTCTCAGACGATGAGCATGCCTAAAAAGGATAAAAACCACCATGAAGCAATTTTGTACCGCAACAAAATCATCAAAGAAAATATTTACATTCTACTTTGTTATACTGGCTTTTGGTGAACAACCTCGTTAACCTTCAGAATGTAAATTGGGTCCATAAATAATAGCTTCTAGTATGCATCAAATAAGTTCAGCTTTTAAATTTACGAAAGAAACAAACTTACCTGTTGTGGAAAGTCACCATTTTCGCACTGCGAATTTATTAGGACTTTGGTTGCTCTGTGCAACGGCAAGGGATCTCTCTCAGCCTGCATGATAGCAACAGACGAAGGAAAATATGCATTTGTGTTCAATAGATACAATGAAAGGAAGAACTTGAATCTGCTCCTTAATTCGGAATCCCATCAATCAGTTTGGATAAACTTATCCGACGAATTAAAGAAATCACCCCACTACAAGTTTTGACCATTTTTCTAACGGGCCCAACTAATTTTGAAAATGGATTGGTTATAAAGAATCAAAAAAATAAATAAAGCCATGTTATTTTACATTTGCAGGTGTTCTAATAAACATTATTTCCCATATATTGAAAGTTGAAAGCAAACTAAACAGCAACAGGAACGCGATACTAAATTATGTGGTTATAGTAATAGCTAAAATTGTTTTACCTGCCCAGCGTCAATGAGAGCCAGCATAGCCCATCCTGTATTTACCACATGAGATCTGTTCCCATCTAAATTACTATACACCTGAAGAGAGAGCATTATTTCAGTATTTGATCAAATTAATAACTGTACCAAACAATATCAGTAAGGACATATCATGTTTCCAAATGACATTGAGGTTAAGGGAAGATAAACAAAATTTACTTCAAATTAAACAGAGTTAGACAAGATTGTAATTTGAACACTTGATATCCAACAGATATATTCTCTATAAGTTTTCCCTCGTTATCAGCTAGTGTCAGAGCAAGTTTTCTAATTCTTACAAGTGTGCATCACTCATCATAACTTTCTCAAAAGAAACATAGATCCTACAGATCAGTTCTGAGCATATAAAGACAAGCGGAGGCACATGAAAAATGAACTCATTTCATGAAACATATCATGGTTAACTCATAGCCAATCAGCTTATCATGGAACATGAAATTACCATTGAACTCATATCATGAAAAAGATAAGCATATCATGAAGATGATAAGACTTGGAACTCATAGCCAATCAGATTCTAGCATCAACATTGAACATTCAAAAACTGCAGCTAAAACATTTGTCCTTCAACAGAAATTACCAATGTTGTCTATTATGACCTTCGGGCTTCCGATAATAATCATGGTTTACAATTAATATATGTCTAACTATGTTTATATGTGTACACATTTTGCAAGATACTGGTTGTGCCTTTCACATATCACCACATAAGAATGAAAAAACAACTAGTTTAGAAAATTCTCAACCTTGTTTTGACATGAAAGGTAACTCTCTCCCCAGCCGCCACAGGGGAGTTGTTTAGACAACAGAAAATCACAAGCCTTGCGAATGGCAGAGCAACTATTAAAAGTTCGGCCAGCTGCCACCAGGCCTTTCACCCCAAACCATGTTCCATAAGTGAAGCAAACTGCCCAAGAACCATACCTGTCACAAAGTTTCAGTAATTAACAATGTAGTTGATTGCCAGACTACATAAAACTCAAGCATAACCATGCAAATAACTTGAAAGGTTAGTTAAGTAGAGCCAGATGTTGAAAAACACAAATTTGAGGAAGAAATGATGGTATACAACTGCATGTTTCATCTGGCCATACTTATTAGTTATTATGCCACAATTATTAAGAAGAAGCTACACATGAAAGAGTCAAACTGACCAGGAGCCATCAGCTGCTTGAATTTTTTCAATGAATTTTGCACCTTTCTCTATGCAGCGCTCAACTTCTACTTTGCGATGCCCAGGGTATAATTTCTTGAATGCTGTTAGTGCCTGAATAGCAGCCGAAGTGCACTCAACATAGCTGTAAAATGCAGTTCAAACTGAATTCATGATATATGGAAGGCAATGCCTTAAATCAACTCTATCTGTATTCTATATCCGGAATATTATGCAAGAACTTTTAGGAAATGAACCCAAGACACTCACTTTTGCATTTTTATTGTGGAGTTGGAGAGTAAAAGAAAGAAACCCTTCTACATATATGCTCTATACACATCAAACATAAACAGATGCTCTTGTTTCTTTCACTCTACAACGTCACAATAAATTTAGAAAAGGCAAATGTAGAGAGAGATCTTTTGTCCACAATACTAGCTACCACATCTAATTAGTCTTACATTACTCCAAAAATTTTTATCAACTAATAAGTAGAATATTCGAGCTAGGCAGAGATGAAATATCAAATCACAGATTTGCAGTTAATTTTAATGATTTTTGCCGGAACACATCAAGTCTGTTGTATATAGACATGAAGAAGAAGAGACATCTTACGGATAATCAATGACAATGTCGCCAAAAGTTTCAGCAGGATTGATTAGCTGCGAGAAACAGATGCTTAAATCTCATCAACTATAGATATAACAAAATCAAGGAAAAAATTATCACGTTTGGATAAAATGCACAACTGCGACAAAATTAGATAACTAAGCTCCTTTTAGACTGGAAAAACTGCAATATTGCATGTGCAGCTATGACTGAATGACCAGATGACATTACAGCAAATAACTTAAATATGTTCCATATGTTTCACTAGTATTGAAGTGCAAGAGCATTCAAAGAGATAAACAGAAAAAACATATAAATTGTTCAACATGTAAGTTAGAGTAGTCCAGATCATCAACAGACCATAACTGAATCACTCTAGCAAACATTAAACCTTAAAAGGTGAATCATATTTCATTCCAGATTAAAATTCTAACCACCAAAATATTATTTTCGAAGACATGCACATAAACCATTTTGAAAGTAAATTTATCAGTATAAGGAAAAAAAAAAAAAAACAAAGCACATTCATACGATTCACAAGGTATACACATTAGATCAATTACCTCCAACCAACTATAGGATCTTGTCAATTCATATGTTGCGAAGCCTCCCTCTACATTCTGCATATTGTCAACAAATATTCTCCTCAGGCTAACAAAAATATTCAGCGATAAATATCATTTACATTTGTTGCTTGGATCCATGAACTTTAATTTACGGAAACATCACAGTTAATCAATTTCATTGCTCCCATAAGTTTCCGAACAGGATTTTCATGGTCCTAAACTAGGACCGTTTGAACCGCTGCTTTCTTGCCCAAACTGAAATTTTAATTTGGAACCAGTGGCTCACGGTTCTGAACCAGAACCGTATGAATTGATGCTTTTCCTCCTGAACCATC